TTCTCCACTCTTTTCATTCACATTTCTCTCCATGAAGAAGGTACTGATCTCGCGTTCTCAACCACCCTCCCATATTCACGGAAGAGATTAGTCGAGCAAGCTCATCGAGGACGGATCCTTCGAAGATGCTGGACGATTTACAAGAAACCTAGTAAATTTTGTTGCAATCGTACTGCATAGGCACAGACGACTAACCAAAAATGCCCCTTTCTCCGTGCTCGTGCGGTGCCCGGTGATCCTGTAGACCTGTGCCCTCATATCTAATATGTGATCTTAGGCTAACTCATTTTAACACTGACGACAACGCGAGTTTTGGCTTTTTTGGCCACGTGGGACCGCGGCGATTTTGCGGGCGCGGCCGCCTCAGGTCGTTCAAGCAGATTTTGAGTGATAAATACATAAATAATGATCAATACAAAACCAGATCAGTAAATTGTAATGAGCAACCTAACCAGGGGTAGTGGAATTTCGATCGAAAGACATGGAATAACAATGAAAAAGCGAAATTTTCAGAACTAGCTGCAATGGACCTCAAAAGCAATTTTACGTTGATTATTCCAATCAAAACACACATATTGTCATCCCTAAGGTTCCGTATCTACTTCTACTACTATTTAAATCTTCACATTCATAAAAAGAAAAAGTAAACGAAAAATTTATTGAACTGAAGATTTCGTATGGTTCAGAAATCCTCCTTTAAAGGCAAGAATCAGGATTACATTGATGGGTTGATTCCACTCAAATGTGAAAGTAGGGATGGAGGTGGACCGCCAATGGAGAAAAAAGGAAAGAAAATCCTGAAATACACAGGAAATACGAGCATTTTGCTCCGTTGATTTGAGCATTGATGGGACTCTCATCGCTTTGCCCTCTTCAACCCTACGCTCTCTCAGCTATCTAATCACTCGCCACCTATTGTACTACGGCGAGTGATCAGACGATCGGTGGGCGGAGATCGCCGAACTCGCCAACTTTGAGCCATGCTAGATCTCAGAGGTCAAATCTTTCGATGCCGATTGCGTGTCTGTCCGCACCCTCAAGAGATTCACCGCTCTCCCCACTAGGCGATTTCTCCCTTCTTCGACCTTCGTTCTTTCCGTGCAATCCTCCTTTAAGATTGCACATCGATCAAATTCTAGGCCCTTTATGTTCCTATCTAACGCCTACTCTTCTATAAATAATACAAGAAACTTAAGGGAATTAGGCTTGCGCGAAAATAATGAGTGTAATTGGTGGGGGAGTACATATCCCGCACGGTACGGCATGGCCTGCAGTGCGTGGGATAATTCGCAATGTGTTAAAACCAATCATATACACAAATACTTCGATAATTCTAAGTATAAATCGGGAAATAGTGCAATTTTGCAAGCCTCTCCCCTTTGAAATATCTCTTACATATTTCCTTCCAGGCTTTACATTGTCTTGAAATGGCTATGAATGTTGACCGATACATCTCTCGAGCTCATGACCTTGGCATTTCGGACGAGATTATCGAGAAGTCGTTGAATAAAATGGCCGCTAAGTTAAAGACTTCTGGTCGATGGTCTGAGGCAGCCAAGGCTTTGAGAGTTGCGGTAAGTGTCCAGGCACCGATCTTGTCAAGTTTTCACGTAATGAGAGCTGAAAGGGAGTAAACCTAAGTACCTTCATACTACCTGGACCCTCTTTTTCAACTAGTTGGGCGAGACGAAAGCACTCTATTCCTGTGGCCATATATATAAAGAATTTCCAGTCTAATTGTAGACTGCAAACTTCGTATTGGATAGGTTTCTGTCTTTTCATGCTTCCTTAGGATCAGGCAGCCCAAAATTTCACACACTGACTATTTTGCCGAGTGCTTTTGTATATGCTGTGGGTCCCGGTGAAGATAGGTTTACGCATAGTTTGATTTTATAGAGAGCTTCCTCTAGCTTGCTCATCGAAGCGTATTCGAAGGCAGTGAATGGATGAATGCAGTGGAGGTCGCAGAACGTTCCAAAGTTTGATCTAAACCCAGAAGTGCACATGGGATGCTCCTTTTGTGTATTGCTAAAGTTGTTTTTTTTTTCAGTAATGTCAGGCGAAAAACTACTGGTCGACTCGTATGTCAAGATATGCTAAGGAGTCTGCTGTAAACACAGAACAGTTTCATAGGTTATTGTTCTATAGCTCATCCCCAGACCAGGTTGCACACTTCCTTATCGCTCTCGCCTTTTTAAAGTTCACGACAAAACGCTGAGTTGTTCTCGATCAAAAGGGAACGTATCATCAATTGAAAAACGTAATCGAGAAACTGGCGGGATCTTGAGTAATAACAGTATGATAAAGATGTCAGTGCCTGACGTTATGAAGGTTTTGAAAGTTCCAGACTGCCGATCTGTTTTCGGAAGCAGGAAGTACATTCAGCATAGCTAGCAGAAAAACTGGTAGGACTGGCGTAAGTCGAGCGAGTACGTCTGCAACTGTGCGTAAGAGAAAGCAGGTAGGATGAAGAATTGTGTTGTTTATTCAGTAGTGAAATTTTAATCCTTAAATCTGTCCAGTCACACGTCTTTGTATCTTGCTACGTCCCGGTTGATCGTTCCTGTTTGCTAGAGCGGGCGCCAGCCGAAGTTCATTCTTCCTGTGCGTGCAGATGTGTTCCCAGTGGATCCTCCTCGTCATGACACTTAAGCCGTTCAGAGCTTTCGTGAAGAAGTCTGACCATCGGGCCGGCGGTCGTCCAGGTGTTCGTTTGACGTCCCGAGGGATCCAGTCGGTAACCGCTCTGGTCCAACGGTCATCGCAAAATCGCATGACGTGTCCGGCCCACCTTATCTTCGATTCCTTGGCGAAAACGGCAGCGTCCCTGATCTTCGATCGTTGGCGTAGTTCCGGAACTCCGGATTCCCCTCTGCACTTGCGTGTATAGGTAATACTCCTAGCATCGTTCTCCAAGACTGCGGTCCCGTCGATGTATGGTGGATCGTTTTTTATTCTGCCAAACAATATAATCAAACGTCAATAAAGGCTGTGAGCTGTTGCACAGCGACAGGATTCCATCCTGTGGAGGGTGTAAGTCACTTCCTCGCCTCCAGTCATTGCACCTCTCGTCATCGTCTCTATGGCATAGACAGTCGCCTATGCAAATGTGCTCGGATCCAGTCATTCTTAGCGAGTTGCATACAGCTTGTACACGCTTCACAGAGCCGAGCTCAAATGTGCGTTCAAAGTTTTTACGAAACGTTCCCATGAAAGACTTCGTTTGCCAAAAAGCCTGGAGCATGCGTCGTGGGCGCTTTTGGTGAAATAGTTCCCAAACTTGTTGTGAATCGCTCGCAGACTCTACATACAGGCAAATAGAAGCAAATGTTGACAAAAAATGACGTCGGAAGTTTTTTTAGGTAAGTTCTGTGAGAACAGTAGAACAACCTTGCCAAAAACTTGTTCCCCGTGATCTCTAGTATGTGAGTCCAGCTACTACCGCTGCCTGCGCCGGATTGCGTTCTATGATCATGACGCATTTTCTGGTCAATCGTTCCAACGGTTTGACGGGAAAGTCGCATCATGGGGTGTCTTAATGAGCATATCACAAATTTGAGCAATTTGGCGTCTGCATGCCCTGTTACGCGCACCAGCACAGCTCTTTGGCGATATGGAATGTTGCCGGTGTAACCTCAGTTTCGGCCCGATTCACTATGAATAGTATACTGCTTCTGAGGTATGCGATTGCTAATCGCGCGGCCGGTGATTTTTGAGGTGACCTGATGCCCGTGTCACCGCGAACATCTTTGAACCTTGCTCGGTCTGCGCAGCACGACAATCATCAGTGACCGCTCTTCTCCAAAAGTAGTACCGTTACTCCGAATGCGTCTGAATCGATATTATAACCTGAGGTGGTAGACCCATCTATTTCGTTGCATGTCTTCACCACCTTTGCTTTCGCCGTCTTTCCGACTGGGCCTCTTCCCACTTGGCGAAACATCAAAAGGTCACGGTTATATGCGACTTTGAGCGATTTTATAAATGTTCTGTCGGCAATTGCCGTTTTGGCTCCACACGGAGTGGCAGGCGCCATTAGAAATTCACTTTCATTCTCCCTTCACGGCACACTTTTTCCTGCCGTATCCTCTGGAACTAGTGTCTGGGGGGCCCGAGACCGATTAGCTACAATTCTGGCAGCAGAACGTTTGTGCCATACGCGCCGCGGCCGCCCCCCACCAAATATACGATTTCCTTCCCTTCGTCGACCTTTATCCACTTCTTTTCCAGTCTCCAAGAATTTTTAGAACCGCGTCTTAGCTGTGAAAGCTAATTCCGCCCATATTGTGCAAGCTGCGCCCTCCATCAAAATCTAGCCTCCACTCCTTCTCTGACCTCTGCCCACCTATTTCCTGCTCTCTAAGACTTCTAAGAAGTGAATTATGAGGCCTTGCAGCACTTGAGGGCATGCTCCGTCCATTGTGGGCGAGCCTCCGGCTGCGTCGTGTATGCTGGAAACACTTAGACATTGCTTCCCTACACCAAGTTGTTTTCTGCTCTGTAGGCTTTCTGCAAACCGAGTCATGAATTTTTCACAAAGCATTTTTCAGAAGCACGCCGTGCTCACCGGAAGGGGTCTCCCCTATATCGATCTGATCTTCCTTAATGATCGACCCAACTTTGTTTCCGTTACTAGGCGTTTGGGATTTAACTCGGGATCTTTGGGTCATTCTCGATGCAGGCCACTGCCCATAGTGGGCGGTTCCGCTTAAAACCGTTGCATGTTTGTATAACACAGACCCTGCCCACCCATCCCTACACTCGAACCGATGTCTCCAGAACGAATCTCCAGGAGCTAGGGAATTTCATGACAGACATACAGAACGACAGACAACAGACCAGACACAGACATACAGACAGACGAAGCGCTTTATAGTAAGTAGGATGAACCTCTTTGCGCGCAATCGACCTTTCCTGTTGAGCTATTCGTTTCACCCCTGTCCCTCAGAATCATTCGAAGCAGAAAGGCTATATCGAGCATGTTCTCCCACCTGTGCAAGATGGTCTTGGTCATCAGCAGGTCAGCATCAAATATTGTTCAAAATGTTGAGCGTTTTCAGATTGACCGGAAGAAGCAGTCATTGAAGGAAGGTGGGGAATACGAAGATTCTGCTCTTCTCCTAGCTCTGGCCTCTCATTATAAATGGATGGATGAAATCACAGGTGACTTTCTTTGCACTGCCATTTTTAACTCAGAGGTTAAGCTTTGAATAGGTAAAAAATTTCAAGTTCTTCTCAAGGTTTGAACAACAAAGGACCAAGAATGTTAACCTTAAATATTTCTGGGTAATTTCACCCGAGCCTGACTCGTTGCTGTGCGTGCGTTTGAGCTCAATAACTTGTAAGTCTAGCTGAACGTTCTTCCATTTTCTTGTAAAAAAAACCTAGAGCACAGACAGGTAGAGGACAGCTGCGGTTTGAGCTTCGAATATCGCTTGCAAGAGAGTACTGAACGAGAGGAATGCAGGGGATCAGGTTGTGTGGGTGAGCCACTTGACGTGAGGCAAAAACTGGAGCTTACTACATAACAGGGGTCACCCGAGTTCGAGTAGCCCGCAGCCAGTGCTCGGAAGGCTTGGTTGACGTAGGAAGTACCTCATCTAACGAACCATGCATGTGCGAGTGGCAATATTAGCTAGTATTTTGAACGCTCTTCTTTGATCCATGAATTTTGCCACGCCGTGTCAAGGCGACGATGGCCACGGTAAGGGAGGCGATTTTTTTTCCGGACTTTGCATTAGATTGGATTATCCACAAAGACTTTGAGCATAACTACTGCATTTAGCCGAATTAGTCCAACTGTTGCCTGCTTTGGTGCATACTGATGAAATAGCGCTGGCGAGCTCGGTCCAAAATGCTGCCGAACAGTTTTTCGACGATCTCATCACCATTCGTTCCCGGATATGGCCAAACAAGCTTCATCCGTGGGATCTTCCCGGCCCATTATATGCATTGGTGAGTGGATGGAGCTGGCTTTAATGAAGTGATTCAACAACCTTATACTATTTGCAGTACACCATAAATGATGTCTTCACATTTCCGGCCGACGGAGGGATGCCCGAAGTCGTAACGTTAGGTGTGCCTTTGTAAACATTTTCTGTATTTGATTACGAATAAACGACAAATTTTAGAACCAGAAGTTGTTGCTCCTGCTTTGGATACCAATAGAAAGTGGAAGTTGCAGATTTTGTCGTGAGGCAGCGGTTTTTTTTCCTCCAACCGTTAAGACCATCCGCCCATTCCCTGTGTAAGGTTGTCATTATGGTTGGGTGGAAGTGTGAAAGTGTACTTGTTTGTTGCCTTTGGAACTTTATGGTGATTTGACATCTGAAACCGGCTCACATCCATTTTAGGCCATGATTAAATAGTCTTTTCACATGTGGTAGTTGAGGAACTCGAATATATTTTGTGAATGACCATGCTGTGATTTGTTTTTTTTTATGTTGGATTTGAATCCTTTTTTGCTTCACCTCTTTGCCTTTATTGTCACTGTGCCGTGAATACTGCTCACATACTTGTGTACCTGATTCGCCAGCTTTTCATGGTGTGCGACTAAAAGCGCTGCGCTCGTTGTGGACAGGGCAACAGTTGAATACTCCACGACTTGACTCCTTAATCCGTTACTTGCGAATGCTCCAATTGTAAGGCTAGAACAGAAAATAGGATTTGGAGAAGCCTGCCATGCCACATTTCAAGGCCTCCAATTTTCCCATTTGGATGTCATTTAACACGTTGACGACAACATGACGCGCATGCGCGTCAGATTTTCACCGGATGGGGCTCGTTTTGGTCGGTTTATTTGGCATTTTTCATATTTCAAAACTGTCTGGATGCATCATCTTATCCGGAAAACTGTGCACCAATTAACAGTGGTGGAAAATTGCTTGAAGGAATAATTCTATTTTGAAAATAATAAACAAAAAATGCCGAGAGATGCCACACACCGACACGGGCCTGATCAACTCAACTCTAGTATCACAACTATATGTTATATGAGTGTATGAAAGACAAGTGATTAATAAATAATCGATAACTCCCTCTCTCCGCCACCACCCCACTCCCCCACCACTCAAGGGTAATGTTACGAGCGGAAAAGCCAGACGGTCGCTGCCACGATGCCACTTGTGCGCAGCGGAGAGCGCGAACCAGAACAGGCCAGACCATTCGATCGATTCCGTTATGTCGTTTCCATCGACCGATTTGCACCTGTGGAAAGAAGAAACAACAACCAAAAAATACAATAGAGGCACACCACAGCAAACAGATATTCTCTTTCTTTTCCGATTTCGTCTGTCTTGTCGTCCTCGGTTACACGCGGGGTTAAAGGTTGTTCGAAGGTGTGACTACATCCAGCCATCTTTACTGCTAGATGGTGGGTCAGGTAAAGTCGCTGCGTTTGAGCTTTGCGGTCGCGCGACCGCCGAGTCGTGGAGTCCAATATAAATATTTGAAAATAATAGCTGAGTTTACGACCAATGCGAGGGGTTGCTTATCCTTCCTGATCAGTACTGCAAAGTATCTCCAAGAACACCCTCTTTCAATACCCCCCCAATATTCACTAGCGCTTCTTGTACATATATTATTTCCGAGATGTTATCCTTATGATATGTGTTTAAGAGAAGCACTAAGGTCAAGGCAGTAGAAGTTGTGATTTATTAATGATTTTCCTTTTTATAATTTGCTGGATAATTGTTTCATTTGTTATCGAATGCTCTTTTCGAGTTATGGCGACGTTGTTATATTCTCATTGTTTTTGTTAGTCCTCTCAACAAGTTGATTGTTACGTAATAAATGTGAGATATTCCCTTTAATGCAAAGGTCAAAATGTTTTATCATTCAGTGAATTATCTGTGTGCGCTACTTACTGAGCAACAGATTTTCATTGTAGCATCTTACAAGGAAGGTCTTTCAGGGCACTCACTATTCAACTATTACAACCCCAAAATCTCAAAATTTTATTTTTCGTCGAAACTTCGCCTATAGGGGTAATTCGATGCCCTGATTACGAAAATGACATTCATTTTTTTTGGCGCCATTGGCGCCAATTGGCGCCATTTGGCGCCAGGGCTGTTTTCACCAAATTCGCTGTAAACTTGTATATAGGGGTTATTTGGGGTCCTGATTACGAATATAACATTCATTTTGCCGCTTGCGCCATTTGGCGCCTATTTTCGCTCGTCTGCGCCCTCTCACTGATTAGCTCGCGATCAGGACTAAGCCTTTGGGGAGAGGAGTGCTCCGAAGTGAGTAACACTCATCCTGTGATCTTATACGCTTCAACTTTTGCCACACGTTGCCTGGTTCACCCACCTAGGAGTCCTCCCTCCTCCTAAGCTTAGTCCGAGGTAATATGTACAAGTGAGAGAGCCCAGGAAAACGGAAAATATGCGTTGAATAGTGCAAATGCAAAAACGAATGTCATATTCGTAATCAGGACCCCAAATAACCCCTGTATACAAGTTTACAGCGAATTTGGTGAAAACAGCCCTGGCGCCAAATGGCGCCAACGCCAAAAATGAATGTCATTTTCGTAATCAGGGCATCGAATTACCCCTATAGGCGAAGTTTCGACGAAAAATAAAATTTTGAGATTTTGGGGTTGTAATAGTTGAATAGTGTCTTTCAGGGTGTGCCAAGCTTTTTCAAAACGGTCTTTTGCATGATATAGAGGCACATGCGGGAACCACAGAACCATGGTTAATTTTTCCTGAACGGCCCTCTGAATACCAGGGTCCCTAGTCACACCTTTTTCACCAGTTTTTCAATCAAAGTCTATTTGTAAGGGTTACTGACGGTCCTAATCATGAATATGGTACTAATTATTCATGCTAACTCCATTTTGCGCGAATTTGGAAACGTCAACTCGAAATGCAAAAATTTGTCACCACGAGGAATCGAACTAGGGACCCCTTTTCTGGTATTCAGAGGGCCGTTCAGGAAAAATGAACCATGTTCTGTGGTCCCATATGTGCCCCAATGTCATGCAAGAAACCATTTTGAAAAAGCTTGGCACACCCTGAACGACCTCCCTTGTTAGTATGTCCTACCCATCGACAATCGTCGTTGTGCGTGTGTTGATGCATCTTTTTCATCACTACTTGCATATTTTTCTTACTTCTCATCAGCAATTCTTAATCCTGCAGTGATTTCTTTCTCAGTGATGATCACATCATCTTTCGTACCAAAAATGGGTTGATGAGGCTGGAAATTGCGATGCAGTGCTCAACTGTGATGAGCGTTTGTGTTGAGGAGCTCGTACTACTTTATAAGTGTAGTTGGTGGCCCCCAGACGTCTACTGATCATCTGATATTGAAAATTTTAATCTTTATTATGGTCACCGAAAATTTCTTGCATTTTTTTCAGGGGGAGGGGGTTGGTGGGTAATGGTGAACAATAGCGCTTTATTTTTTTCCAGCTTGAGCCCTTTTTCACGAGCGGAAGTGGCATTACGTCGCAGTGGTTTGTCCCAGCAACTACAATCCAATTAGTGATACAATTTGCAGGGTAAGGAAGCTTCAGAGGTGGGAACCACTTACTTTTGCAAAAGGGACTGAGCATGTATCAACCCTAAATTTTTTCGTGGAAAAAATTTCTTCTTGTTATTGTTTATTAATTGTGAGCAGATAAGTACCATTACAGCAAAATTTGGAAGGTATTCGATCACAAACTACGAACTATGAAGCTTCGAAAATTGACGGTTTCTCAGTTTTTTAGCTTATTTCGAAACAATTGAAAACGGCACTATACTATTACAACCCTAGTGGGGGTGAGATGGGTCAAAAAAATAATTTTCGCTGAAACTTCTGCTATGAGGGTTATCGAGGGTCC